TGCAGGATTTGTTTTCTGGTTGTAAAAGATCTTGATTTTATTTTTACAGAATAAACTGTCAGGCCTTTTGCTCTCAATATTGGACAGAGCAATGATAAAGGACATGAAACCTGCTCCTTGTGAAAACAAAAAAAATCTATTTTCATGTATATGCCCTCATTTTCTAAAACAACTAATTTCTTTTGCCATAAGATACATGTAAGGGGGGGGCGGTGCTAGAGAGACAGCTCAGCAGTTGAGAGCACTGGATGCTCTTCTAGGGGACCCAGGATCAATTACCAGCAACTCACTGTCTATAACTCCAGTTCTAGGGTTTCTAACACCCTCATGTAGACACACATGTAGGCAAAGCATCTATGAACACACACACACAAACACACATGGACCTGGGTTCCATTCCCAGTTCCCACATGGGATCTACAACCATCCTAATTAATGCTCAGCTCTAGGGGATACAGCACCCTCTTCTAATCTTCGTGGGGACCAGGCATGCATGCAGTGTACATATAAACATTCAGGCAAAACAGTCAGATGCATAAAATAAATAAATCTCAAACAAGGATTGCTACTCTCTAGGAAGTTCCCGACACTATCCCTCCTAGTCACGATCCCTCCTCTGACTTTCCCTGGGCAGGAAACAGCACTGTGCACTGCAGAAGACTAAAAATGTCACCAGCAAAAATGAAGTGACCGTGTTCTTCCTTTCGCATGGCTGCTCTGTTAAATCACCTGTAAGGTCACGCTTGCTTTGTCCACACAGCCCTCCAGAGTGGGCCTGGAGCCAGAGATGTCTACCCAGTGTCTGTACTTAGCATTCATCTATTTTCAAGCCCCACAAACAACAGCCACCACGACCAGATGCTCAGATAATAGCCAAGCTGTCATATTCTTTGTCATACTATCTTGCATATCAAAGAGTTGAGTTATGGGAGTTAATACTTCAAATTTGCACAAAGACATCCATTTACCTACAACACTTAATAAAGTATAAAAAGAATCCACTGATCTCAAAAAGTACAATCAAGGCCTTAAGACTGACTGAAATCCTAGTAGGGCTCTAAGACCCATTTATGTTTTAAAGTATGAGATTTTTCTACTCCGTTACACATTTCTGAAAGAGAAAGATCAAATTTACCTAGTCAAGTATTGGTAAATAAAGGCTTTATTCATTCAATATAGAAACGTTAGCATCATTAAGTAACTTTTAAGTATCCAAAATAAAAAAAGATTTGAATAGGTCTATGAGAGTGTTAAATTAATTATTAAAGTTTCTAGCCTTAGTAGTTAAAAGGAGGATATTGAATTAGTTAAGGCATCATTGGTACATATGCAAATCGATTAATCTTGTGCTTCAATTATATTAGAAAACAAACCCTTGACTTTTGTTTAATTTACAGTCTAAGCAAGGATTTTGCTAACCAAGAGTAAATTATAGTTCAGGTGTTGCCAAGGTTCCAAACTACTACATCTCAACAAACTCCAAACCAAAGAGACTTTGATACCTTTTTATCTGTTAAGAGGGAAAACACTTAACTCCATGATGGGGGAATCGGCATCACAACACACTAAGCCGATGTGTGCACTGCTCTTGGGGAGTTAAACCCCAGTTGCGTCACAAGATGTAGTCACGTCATCTATGATGACGTCTACCGTGGAGTGGCCGACTTGACTTCATGGAGCCTTCATCTAAAGTTCATTTTGTAGGGGGCAGAAAAACACAAAAAAGCACCCAAAAAAAGATGTGATGAGACAAATCCAGCTGGGGTATTTGAAGGAATATGTGCCTGTCTCTTCAACAATGGTTTTGTCAAGAAGAGAATTAACGTCTGCATGGCCCAGGGGAGTGTCCTACACCGCGCTCAGTTTGGTGTGTCTAGACACAGCGGCTGTGAAGTACAATTTAGAGTGAGAAAGGGGAACACAGCTTCCGAGGCCACTAACGGAAAAAAAGCAGGTTAAATGGTGTATGTGTGTAAAATATGACTCCATAACTTCCTTGTCTAGTGTGTGTGTATGTGTACATGAATGTGTGTAAGCATGCTTGTACATGTATGTGTGTGCATGTGCACGCACGTGTGTGTGTGTGTGTGTGTGTGTGTACAGCAGGTCTGAGCTTCATCACTGATAATCTCAGTTGTATTAGCATGGTGCTTTCATCATAGCTTGAAACATTTTAAATTTTCTAGATTCTACATGTGCTGGCCCTGAACTAACAAAATAATTTAAAATACGTATCCTATGGAAAATCCTTGACTTTCTGTCATATGCATAAACCTGTTTATGATCATCCATCATAGCAAATTTGTTGGATATGGATCTGAGATGGGAGAACTGAAGATTTTTATAAAAAGGCCCCTCCTCAATTCTCTGACTTTCTGAAGCTGTGACTATTGAGATTCATTTAGTGACTTTCATGTCATTTCAATGGCACGTTAAAGACACTGTCTTGACTTCCTCTCACTGGAGACATAGCAGGTCTCTCCATTAATATCAGATAGCTCAGAATGAAATGTACATCATTAAATCAACTCACACAGCATAAAGGATTTGAGGAACCTTGGGATAATAACCAAGCTGTTTCTATTCCACCAGGAAGGGCTAAGCTAATGGGTTTTCAGATCACTACTATATATGCAAAATGGGACCCTACAAAATAAGCAGCCATTTTAGAATATCCACTTTCACACTGCCTGAAAAAAAGCAAACCAGGGAAAATGGTTTCCTTTCATCTCAGGGCCTTCGGTTCCGGCAGATTCTGACAGCAAACCGATTCCATGCCGCTTCTTCCAAACTTCACGGTTAACTCACGACTTTTGGGAACTGTTCACGTTTTTAATTTAAGGTTGATCTTTAAAACTTTTGAAAAGACTAATTCGCCAGGCACATTTAACCATTGTCTATTTAGAGCAGAGTCAAGTGCATCTGGGGATGAAAAACATCTCTGTTTAGGGCCTGGGAAACGGCCCATTAGGCACATGAAACACCAGCATTTGGGGTCTCCAGAACCCAAAGAAAAATGGCAGACATAGCAGTGTGTGCCTGCAATGTCAGTGCTGGGGAGGAAGAACCCTGGTCCTGCTGGCTAGCTGTCTCCGTCACTGCTCTGTTGCTGTGAAGAGACACCATGACCAAGGCAACTCTTACAAAAGAAAGCATTTCATTATGGGCTTGCTACAGTTTCCATTATCACCTGACAGACAGCATGCTAGAGAAGTTGTTGGATGCTACATCCTGATCTGCAGTCGGAGGGAGAGGACCTGGGAATGACATGGGCTTTTTGAAACCTCCAAGTCCACCCTTAGTGCACACTTTCTCCAACCAGGCCACGTCTACTCCAAGAAGGCCACACTTCCTTGTCCTTCTAATCCTTTCAAATAGTGCCATTCCCTGATGACCAGACAGCCAAACCCTTCCATGAAGTTTCCAGAGTCTTCAAAATATACACCAGGTGAAGTCATTTCTCTCTTCAAACCCTTGGCTGGCTCCTTACCACACTGAGCACAGAGTCCAAACCCTTCACTGCCTCAATGGCTGTGGTCAGTCCATGTGGCCCTCACTCCAAACACTTCATTTTCACTCACTCTGCTCCAACCAGACCATCCCCCTTCATATCCCATGAGCACCTGTGCCTTCAGAACAGACTTCTGCCTCTGTAGCTCTCACCCAGCCAGTGCGGCTGTGGGGGATTCCATCCTGGAATTGGGTGCTGTGCAGCTCCCAGCTTACGTCTTGGTTCAAGTATCAGGCCTTTCCCAGCAGAAAAGAACACTTACAGCAATATCTTACATTTCTTTTTGCTTGGTTGACTTGAGACGGGGTCTCACTATGTCACCCTGCCTGGCCAGGAACTCGTTATGTAGCCTAAGCTTGTCTCAAATTCACAGAGACCCACTTGCCTCTGCTTCTCGAGGATTGGGACTAAAGGTGTGCGCCACTATGCCTGGCTAGCTTTAAAATACCACCAGTACTCACTTTAAATGTGTGCGCGTGCGCACACACACACACACACATCACTTTAGAGTTTGTCTCTCAACACATATGTAAAGAACACAATGATAAAGACTTTGTGTTGTTCATTGATGAAACTCCAGGGTCCAGAATAATGTTTGAGGGAGGTTATATACGGCTCTTTAGCCCCAGTCAGCACTATCGCTGTAGACTAAGCACTTAGCACAACTGACTTCAGCACTCAGTACTTAGCTCATGAGCGTGTAACATGTGCAAGGCCATGGAAACCTTAGCATGTGTTTATAAATATGTATGTACCTGCCTATACTTATATTTATTTGTCTATCATATCAAGGGTCTGGGCTGTAGCCAGGTGTGAGGCCTTGGGTTTGTTCTATAGCATTGACAAACCAAAAACCCAAAACCAACTCAGCAAAAAAGTGCTCGGTGCTGGCTTGCTACTTGTAGGCAAGAAAGAAATTCTTTGCTGTACGTGGAAAGTTTTTCCCTTGTCAAAACCAGCTTAGCCTTTGAGGGCACCAGGCACGCCCGGGCTGCACATACATTTGCAGGCTAAAGCAATCACGCACATAAAGATCAAATGAATACACACTGGATTTCAGATAGTAAAGACTACATGTGGGTTGTGGCTTCTTGGAGCTTTTTTGGGTTTGTTTTGTTTTCTGCAGTGCTGGGGACCAAACTCAGGGCTCCATACATGCGAGGGTAATGGTCTCTCCATGAGCAATAACCCCTGTCCCAGTGAGTTAGTTTGAGTTGATACAAACAGAGCAGTGTTATGGCATAGTTTGAAAACTGTATTCTATCCTTTCTGGTTGAGTCCACCAGGATAACAATTTGCTTTTATCAGACTTAGTTTGCAATTATGCTTTGTGATATGCATCTTACAACTGATCCTGTCACAGTATCTTGTGTGGCTAGGTTGGAATCACTTTTTCCTGAGCACTTCACAAACCGCATTATTCTAGTAAATAATGACATTTTCTTATTAATGAACGATACTTTCTGTATATAAAGCGTCAAGTACTTACATCGATTAAGTCTGAAAGATCGTGAATGTAATACTTGAACACCGAGGCATTGGTTGCTTCGAGTGTCAGGAGATACTCATTCCTTGCTTTAATCGATTTCAGCTTGTTTTCTGAATATTTTGCTTGTCTCTAGTAATGAAGAAGACACAGGCATCAGGAACGAAAGCGAAGTCATTTTCATAAGAGAGAAATACATGTGGATTTTCACGAATCTAAGCAATTTATTCCACATATAAAAATGATCCCCAGGTCCTTTGTGGAAAGTGCATTTCGAATGTGATTTCAATAACAAACTGAAGCTCCCCGGCTCTGGGAATAACGACAGTGGATTTGGGCTCCGGGCCCACTTTCACTGAACCATCTCTGTCAATATTCAGTTCTTCAGATTTGTCCTGATCACTTGGCGTTCACCACGAAATGATGTCCAGCTGTTATGACATAGTTTTATGTGTCTTAAACAGTCATCACTCCCATGGGAGGAAATGCATGTCTTTAAATAGTAATTCACCATGTGTGTCTATTGCTGGCGGATCAGGGTTTTTACGACTGTCTTGTCTCCCCATATGAAAAGTCAGGGCTCTGCGATGGAGTTTTAAACCTACCTTTTCCTTCATCTTTTCAATTTTCTTCACGGAGCTGCGCCTCTGGTGCCGTTCTTCTAGTCTGAGGTGGAAGACGGGGTCTCCGGACCTCCCGATCTGCTTCTCCTCTTGCTTCTCGGCTTCCTTCAGCTTACTCTCTGCACTGATGCTCTCGGCATGGTACATGTGGTATGTCTTCATCACCTGGGAAGAGTGACCCAGACTGTTAGGAGATGTCTGTCTGCAGCGTTCTCAGCGAACAGGACTGCTATGAGGTGTGCATGTTAAAAATACCGCCTTCCAACCTCCTCCTAGGAGAAAGTCAGATGTAGTAAGACAGGCGAATTTTGGCTCCTGCTTCCATATAAACCAAAGAAATATGCAAGTTCACCAATGAAAGGAGGCGCTCAGGGGACAGGCTCTGATGAAAAATGATTTGCAGAGGCTTACGCGCATTTTCAATATGTGCAAAGTTCTCTTATGCACAAAAGCATGCTCCCCAATCTCCTGCATGCTCCCCAATCTCCTCTGTGCTATGAACTGGTGGCCCAAGCCATCTATTCTATTCATGGGTAAGTTTTAGCCTAACTGGAGCTCTGCATTAGTACAGTCCTTACTTAGAGGACTTTTCCTGAACAAAATGTATTTGTCAAAATACCAACATAAATATTAATACAAGGTTTAGAATAAAAATGGATTTTCTGATCATAAAGATACTTTATATTCAGTGTAGAAAAATAAACAATACAGAAAGGAGATTACCAAACAAACAGAAAACAATAACAACACTGTAAAGATCTGGCATATAGTCAAGGCTTTTTCCCACAAACATACATACACATACCCTTCATCTTAAAATACCATGTATTATTTCTCCAGTTAAAATTTGGGATTAACCAATAATATAATTTTAAGGTGTTTTAAAATAAATACATTGTGGTGTAGCATTTGTTAGAGTGGGTATGGGCATGTGTGCAGGCATGCGTGCATGTGTGTGCGTGCATGTGTGTGTGTGTGTGTGTGTGTGTGTGTGTGTATGTGTAGGCCAGGGTCGGGTGTTTTGCCCTCACATGCTTCCTGCCCTTATTCTTCTGAGACATGGCCTCTTACCGAACCTGAAATTCTGTGATTTGGCCAGGCTGACTGGCCAATGAGTTTTAGGGCTCCTCCTGTCACGAACCTTCATGGCGCTGGGATTCCAGTCACCCCCTTCCACAGACAGCCTCTTAAATTTTACATGGGTTCTGGGGTCTGAACTCGGGTCTTTGCTGAGTGTACCACCTCCATGTGAATCACCAAATGTTCTTTTAAAATGTATGTTTAAGGCTGTACAGAGTTTCCAAGCACCTGCACCACACTTGACTAACGTGCTGCTGTTGGTCGTGCTAGGATTGGGTTGTCCTAAACCCCTTCGTGTGCACACTCTTCTTTTACGGGGAACAACACATACTACTAGTATGTTAGTAAAATTTAGGAATAAGTGAAACAATTTTATAGATATCTTTCCTATGGATATGACAAACTCACATACTAAATCTACAATTATTAAAAACTTTGGGTATGTTATTGCTACAAAGATGTTGTTCATGAACACACTGTGTCACCTAGGACAATTTTTTCAAGGTAAAACTGTAGTGTTAGGAAAAAAAAGGCACATATTTTGTGTGACTTTGAAATGCATTGCTAAGTTTATACTCTTTAATTAAAGAAATAAAATCAAGCTGTTTTTATAATCTCTCAAAGTATTATAAATAACTAGCCTAGATATTTGATAAGTATCTTCCTGGATAATAAAGGTAGGTATTACTCTTTCAGCTACATTTTAAAAACTTATGTGTTATGTATCGAGTCTGTGCGGCTGCCCCAGGAGGCTAGAGGCATCGAATCTCCCTGGAACTGGAGCTATGAGCAGGTGTAAGCTACCTTTCATGGGTGCTGAAACTGAACTTGGGTCAGTGCTGCCAACTGCTGAGCCATCTCTCCAGTCTTAGCGGCCATCACCTAAGGTTTAAGAAATTTTACCTGGAATGATAGCTTCCCCATATAATTTTAATGCTCCATTCAGGGTTAGATGTATTTTGTGCACAATTACAAGAAACCATTCACGTCAGGCATGATGCTCCAATGAAACCCAGAAGGCAGATTTTATTCTACCCGCAAATAACCAAGTTATCCAGATTCAATTTTGGAACTAAGATGGAGTTGTTAAGAAGTTAAGGTACAAGTAATGTTTTAAAGTAATAAACTTTCCTTTTCTCATTTGGAGAGATGAGCTTTAAAATAGATTGGGACCTGGATGTATCATTAGAATAAATGAACTCATTTAAGTGGAGCCCTGCAAAACTGCTGTTTCTCTAGGCCAGCAGGAAAGGGAGGAAGCGAACACTTCATTGGGGTCCAACAGCGCACTCTCAGGATGACTGGAGGAGTAAAACCGGGGCTACTGGAGAGGCTTGCCTTCATCAGCTGTGCTCATCTCTTTAAAGCAAACCAGAGGAAGGCATAAGTGCCAAGCAGCGGCAACGTCTGTACAGCCCCGTGCCCTCGGAAAGTCGTCTGTTTATAGTAATTACTGGACCTGGAGGAAGTCTGGTTGCCCACTCTAGTTTAAAAGCAAAGAAAACAGCATCAGGAAGCAGCTGGGCAGCTGGGGGATGAAAAGGAGCAAGCCTGCAGCTGGGCAAACAGCGGAGTCAGAGAATCTACTACACACCTTGCCATTCAAGGCTGGGCTCTGTTTATATTCCCTGCCTGGAGCAAACCCACATACCATTCCGGCCCCAGTCACATCTTAAAATGACAGGGAAAGAATAACTCCACACATGTACACCACTCTCAGAGCTGCTTGGCTCTCTACTTTCCCTGCTAACACAAAGTTAGAAACAACAACGTCCACTCCCGCTGGATGAAAAGGCAGCCCAGACGGCGCTGTGAGTCTGTAAATTTCTTTTTAATACCCCGCGGAGAAAGAGACCCTTCTTCGGAAGTTTTGGGTTACTTGCCTACTGAGGGCTAGATGAAGCACGTTTAATTTGCACACACTAAGCCTAGTGCACAAGTAAGCACACTGGGTCTGCTTCTAGCATGGTGTGTTAAAAGGAGCACACGTGAGCCTGAACTATTGTAAGACAGCATGAATGGGGGGTGGGGAGCGTGTCTCACCACAACAGAGGTTTAGTATGATGGCCCGGGGTTACTTTTACCTAGTTCAATAATCAACTTGGTTTGGTTTCCTGGTTTGACTCAGGATTTCCACTCTCCTCGAAAGTGGTAAGTGTTAGGGCGAATGAATTTTTAAAAAAGACGGGGAGGAAAAAAAAATTCTCAAAGCCTGTTGAGAATTCTAATTGCAGATAACGAACACAAGTCTGAACTGCACGATTCAAAATGTAAGCTGACAGAAGGCAAAGGTGTTTGTTGTTAAAACGGCACACAGCCATCCCGTTTCTCAGAGAAAAAAGAACTTTTATATTTTAAGGTGTAGTTGGAAGGTATTGCACGAAACACATCAGCCTTTCCTTTGGCTAATGCAAACATACCCTTTGAATACCAAATGACCCCGTGGGCATCTAGCTATTTAAATGTAGTCTCAGGGCACATTTCCCAACTTGAATTCTTTTCTACTAACAGTTCATGCATAATTCCCAATCAGTATCCTCAAGCTATCATTCCCGAACTGCAGGAAAAAATACAGTTCAAGCAGAAAGCGCTCCTGAGTGAGAACCGGGTTTTTGTTACTATATTTCTGTGTATGAGTGTGTGTCTGGTGTGTGTGTGCGTGTGGCATGTGTATGTGCACTTGTGGAAACCAGAGGATGGCACGCAGCACCTTCTACTTCTCTCCTCACTTCCTTGAGACAGGGGCTCACAGGGAACCCAGAACTGGACCGGGGGCTCAAGCCCCAGTGATCTTACTGTCTCCGCTCCCCCACAGTGTCGAGGTTACAGGTGCAGGTATCACTCCTGAGCTTTTACGTGGGTCCTGGGGATTGTTCCTTAGACCTTAGCGACTGAGCCATCTCCCCAGGCCCACACTGTGTATATTTTTGTGAGCCTGGGAAATATTACATCATAAGCTTTGCACAGATACTGTTGATTTTTTTCTTATTGAAAGGCCCATGACATTTAACTGACACCAGCCTTATACTTTAAGCCATAAAATCTAAAATACCTGTGCTATACTTTAATATTCTATAAGAGAGGTTGTTATGCATCTGAAAGCGGTGTGCACATTGGAGATCAGTGGACCAAAGCCACAGTTTCTACCTTTGGACTCTGGCGCAGATGTTCGAGATGTGGATTGGGAGAACGGATCACCAATTGCTCAGGGTGGTGACGACTAAATGCCCTCCTGCTCACCTTACAGAGTTACTGTGGATTCCACATTGTGTGTGGAATCACTAAACTTCACAGAGTATATATTGTATGTGTGTATCTATGGTTACACCATCAGGTCTGATAGGTGCACATACACATATATGTATGTAGACTACTAAGCACTATAAAATGCTTATTGCCTGCTAGACACCAGGGAATCTAAGTGCTTTGCTAATACTTCTAGTCACGCTTGGAGAGGTATTTCTATTTTCCTCCTATCCCCTAAGGTGAACTTGAATCCTGTTTCCTGTTCTATGGGTAGAAAAACCTTTTTCTTTCAATTCTCTTGACTTATTAATGGCACTCACGCTGCCAATCATGAGCTACAGAGTTCCATGTGCCACCCAGTATCACAGCTTATCTTGTAAAATCAGCCAGGACACCGACAAGAGAGTTCTCTGTGCCTTTAGAGCCTTAATTCTACTTCAGCCACAATGTAGATAAGAGACGCTTGATAAGAGGCAATGAAGGATGAGAGCTCACGTCATGGCGTACTCTTACATTTAACAAACACTCACTAAGTGTCGAGGGTATGCCTGACACCTTTCCATCCCTGGCATCCAAATGAGTATACTATTAAACACCTGAGATTAGATGAGGGTTAAGACAAATAGCTCAAAACCATCTGTGAGATACAGAGCTAGTTCTTTTTCTGTTGCTGCGGCAAAACACCGCAATTGAAAGTGCATTGTGGGAAAAGTGTTTAATTTTATTTAGGGTTCCAGAGAGATAAGAGTCTATGGCAGTGGAGAGAGACACGCCAGCTAGCCAAGCATGCATGGTGGCCGGATCACGACTTTAACCTCAAGCAAAGACCAGAGCAGGGT